GACAGCAGGCAAGGAGGAGGGGCAGCCACCGCAACGTCCCCACCACCGCAATATTCCCAGCACCATGATGTCACCACCACCATCACGTCATCCCCACCACCGTATCATCCCCACCACCACGTCTCCACCGCCACCACGGCGTCATGCCCAGCACCATGTCATCCCCAGCACTGCCACCGCGTCCCCGTGCTCCACGTGCCGTGAGTGTGGGTTACTGGGGTTAGTGGTGAGCAGATGTTAGAGGGGACATGCACGCTCGGGGTGGCCAGATGTCCACCACCATCACGTCATCCCCACCACCGTATCATCCCCACCACCACGTCTCCACCGCCACCACGGCGTCATGCCCAGCACCATGTCATCCCCAGCACTGCCACCGCGTCCCCGTGCTCCACGTGCCGTGAGTGTGGGTTACTGGGGTTAGTGGTGAGCAGATGTTAGAGGGGACATGCACGCTCGGGGTGGCCAGATGTGGCTCCACACCCCGGTTCTGCCCCCAACCCGACTGAGGACGTGGAGTACAGCCAGACCCTCGTGGGGACCTGAGCCTGGTGGGGCCACCAGCACCAGGTGGCTCTGAGAAGCCACCACGGCCCTGGCTCACCATGAGCCCTCCGAGCTCTTTCCTTGCTGTGCCAGGACGCATCCTCGCCCTGGCACGTGGCAAACCTTCCGCTGTGGGGCAGTGGCACTGTTTTGGGGTGCCGGTGAGGAGGGTCCCCACACGGAAGGATGTGGTGGCACCGGAGAGCTTCCCCGGCTCCCCGGGGAGCTCTTACCGTCCGTGTGCACCCGCATGGCCGAGGCCGTGATGTCGGTTGTGACATTGAAGTAGGGCAGCCACAGGTCCTGCGGGGACAAGATGGGGTGGGTGACGCCATGGGGATGTTGGTGGGTGGGGAGCTGGTCTGACCCCCCCACCACGGTGGGTGTAGGATGGTGGGTGGTCCACGTCGTGCACCTCGATCTGCTTGTCCTGGAAAACCTTGTTGATGCTGGCGTTGAAGGCTGAGCCCGAAAACATGGAGGTGATGGGGTAGGTGAGGTCCAGGACAGTCTCAAACACCGAATTCATGCACTGGAGGAGGAGGAGGATGAAGAAGAAGAAGAGAAGGAGGAGGATTAATAAGGAGAGAAAGAGGAGGAGGAGGAAGAATAAGAATGAAAGAGGAAGGAGGAGGAAGAAGAAGGAGGAGAAAGAAAAAGGAAAGAAAAAGAGGAGGAGAAAGAAGCAGCAGAAGAAAAGGAGAAGAAGGTGAAAGAGGAAGAGGAAGAAAGAGGAGGAAAGACAGAGGAGGAGAGAAGGAGGAAGAGGATGAGGCAAGATGGAGGAAGAAGAGGAGGAATAATAAAAAGGGGAAGGAGATGCTTTAGAAACACCTCAGGCAAGGCTGGCCACGGGCAGGGCAGGCACCGTGCCACCGTCCTCCCAAAACGGGGGCGGCGAGGGTCAGGGTTTGCCTTCACTGGGGTGGGGGACGTGCCACAGCACCCACCTTGGCCCACTCGCGCGCCCGCTGCTTGGTGCGGACGGCGCTGCGCTCCTCGGCGTAGAGCGCCCCGATGAAGGAGCCGATGGAGGTGCCACCCACCATGTCGATGGGGATCCCCGACTCCTCCATCGCTTTGATCACCCCGATGTGGGAGCAACCCCTGGATGGATTGAGAAAATAAAGAGGAGGATGGATGAGATTGGGGCCCCGTCCCACTGGGTCCCATCCTGCCATGGCGCGGCACCCACCTGGCTCCACCACCCCCCAAGACGAGGGCGATGGTGTTGCCGGTGAGGACACGCGCCAACCGGGAGAAGTCGCTGTGCCGGTCGGCGCTCTTCTCAAACACCTTCTCGTACATCTCCCGCTGCGGATGGGATGGACGATGGGTGACGATGACCGTGGTGGACCACCAAGGTCACCCAGGGAGGGACACGTACTAGTTTGGTGGGACTACGGCGAGAGAAGACGCGTCGGGGACACTTGATGTGGAGGTGGCCCGAGCACCAGCTGCGCATGTTGAGCCACTCAACGGTGCGGGAAGGGCTGGGACCATCCTCGCGGTGTAGGAGGACCAACTGCTTCAGCGCACGTACTGCCGTGTTCTCCAGCATCTGCTCCAGCTGTAGAAACCATCAGCCACCTGGCACGGTGTTGTCCCACCACCGCCTGTCCCCACCTCACCTCTCCCAGTGCCGGCTCTTGGTCGCCCAACCCTACGATGAGGATGCAGTCGGCTTGACGGATGCAGCGCACAGTCCACGGCGTCAGGGTACAGTCGGTTTGGTACAAGACGATGCGGTGGATGTCCTCCTGCTGCGCCAGCCAGCCCGACAGGCGGTACTCCTGGATGCTGCCGAGATGGAGGGGTCAGCTGGTGGCACGGTGATAGGTCACTGGTGATGTTCCTCCCAATGGGAGTTACCTGTCCAGCGCTGAAGAGCCGAGACGGGCACGGATGATGTCACTGGTGAGGAGCAGCGTGGGACCTTGGGAGATGTGGGGAGATGGTCACCACCATGCCATGGGGCTGTGGTCACCACCGTGCTGTGCTCACTGTCATGTCATGGGGCTGTGATGGTCACTGTGCCATGGTGCCCACCACGCCACAAGACCATGGCCACCACTGCGCCATGGGGCTGCAATCACCACCACACCAGGCATGCCACAGGACCATGGTCACCTCCACACCATGGCCACCACCGTGCCACGGTCACCGCTGCACCAGCACTCACCGATGGCATTGAGCGCGTGCTTGAGTTCCAGCGTGAAGGCAGCTGTGGGCACGTCGTCGCACACCGGCAGCACTGCCACCGTCGACAGGTTGCTGGTGGGGTTGGTGGGCTCCGAGCTGGAGGCCATGCCCAAGCCAGAGCCTGGACGGACAGAGACAATGGGGTGGTGGACATCTCCCATGCGCTGCTTTGATGAAGGCTACCAGCCCTGGAGAGGGCACCCCGTTGTCCCCAGTCCCTTTGGGACCTACTTGCAAAGGGCCCACGGAGCTGCTGAAGGTTTCCCAAGATCTTCTGGCTCAGGAGGTGGATGAGGCGGGTGACAACCTGCAGGGGCGAGGACGGGGATGGCCATCAGACCTGGCAGGGTTTCCCAAGCGGGAGACTCATTAACACCCCAGACTGGTGTCTCACACATCTTTTTGGGTGCCACCACCACCACACCCATCCTTGGGGACTTCAGAGAGGGACAACCCTTTAGCACATCAGCCCTTCTCCCCCCAACAGCTCTAGTCACATCTTTAATTCCTTAATTTAAGCTGGTTTTAATGAAGGTCACAGCCACCAGCTGAGGGGGACATGGGGACACACTCCTGTCACGGGACGAGGGTGCAGACCCCAGGATGGGGATCTGGGGGTACCTGGGGGTATCTGCGCTTGATGTTGTTCAAGGTGCCCTCGGGCAGCTTGGCCAGCTCCGTGTCCCGGACCGCGTGCACTGTGGTGGCACGGGGCTGCCGGGTGAGGGCTTCCACCTGGAGAAGACAACATATAGCCATGACGTATCAGCCAGACAGACAGGGTGTCCACCCCCTGGCCCCGATACGGGTCTCACCACGCCAATGAGGTCTCCACGGCCGTACTCCCCGATGAGCTCTTTCTTGCCACTGCCCTTCTGGATGACGGAGCGGAGGCGCCCGTTGAGCGCGATGTAGGTGCAGTCTGACTTGTCACCCTGCCTGGGGGACACCACCAGTGGGAAGTCATCCCCCTGCCAAGCTGGTCCTCACCAAGCTGAGGTGGGCACCCACCTATTGGTACGCACCTGTAGAGCGCCCGGCCCGCCTCCACCGCCATCCAGTCGATGGCAAAATCCATCTGGCGCACGAAGGGTGACATACGGGCGGCCACGGTGTGGGCGACACTCAGCACCACGCTGGGCTGCTCCCGCATGATTCTGTGGGTCAACAGCAGTTGGAGGACACAGTGGTGGCCCCAAGAGATGCCACCATAGCGCTCACTCCAGGAATCCCCTTTGGCACCAACCCTTTGCCCCAAACCTCCTCCACTGGCACCGGGACTCACTCATAGAAGTCTGACTTGGAGATCTTGAGGAAGGTGCAGTCGCGGTTGGCCTTGATGGTGAAGATGAGGGGCTCGCCAGTGAGCACAGCCAGCTGTCCCACCATCTCGCCGGGCTGCGTCAAGAAGAGGCAGACATCCTCCGCCTTGTCGATCATCCGCTGGTACACGTGCAGGCAGCCCCACAGCACAAAGTGGAGGCTCACGTCCTGCCAAAATGGCACCCTATCACCACTGGGGTCCACCTGGGACTCCCAGGCATGAGGGCTCCCGCCAGCACCGCTTGGGGTTTCTTCTGGTGCTCTTCACAGGGTGTTCGGCACTCTCCAGATGGTTCTGGGGATCATTCTTGGCCCTCCCCACCCATAAGTCAGAAGTAGGAAGAGTAGCATCCCATGGAAATATAGGCTGGGAGGAGCAAGATGCCACACCAGCTCCCCAAAACCCACACCCACCTGGTCCCCTTGACGGGCAATGACCGTTCCAGCTTTGGCGTGGTGGAGCAAAACGCGGTTGTTGAGGAGAGAAGGGTCCTAGAGGGAAAAACGGCATCACATGTGGTGACAGGGACCATCATGATGAGATGGGAATGACCATGGGGAGACAGAGGACCACCATGAGGCCACAGGGAACACCATGAAGCAACGGGGACCACCACGAGGAGACGGGAACCCACCACAAAGTGACAGGGGACCACTACGAGGAGACAGACAGGGGACCACCATGAAGTGATGGAGACCACCACAAGGAGATGGGGGGCCATCGCATGATGGCGACAGGAACCACCACAAAGTCACGGGGACCCACCACGAAACAACAGGAATGACTACGAAGCAACAGGGGACCAACAGGAAGTGACAAGGGACCACCACGATGCGACAAGGACCACCACAAAGCCACAGGGGACCACCACAAAACGACGGGAACCCCCCACAAAGCCACAGTTCCCCCACGCCGGCACCGTTTCTGCCCTTACCTCCACCTTCATGAGCTTGACCAGCTCCCGCTTGGCAGCCTCAAAGATGGCGCTGGTCTGGCGGCCCTGGTAGGGTCCGAAGGGACAGTCCCCAGTTGCCGAATCGTCCTCGCAGTAGTTGTAGTGGTAGACACCAGACGGTTGCTCCTCCACCGTCACAGACTTGCGCTCCTTGGGCTCATGCGAGACGGACTGTGGGGAGACGGGACAGCTCCGGCACCCGTCCGCTGCCACCCCAGCGGGGAGGACGCGGGTGGACGTGGTGTTGCCGGATCCGGCATTACCCGGGAGAAGGCGGCCAAGGCGCCGGTGCTGTCCTCCTGCAGCGACACCGAGATGCGGCCGCGCTCGTAGGCCATGTCGAAGTCGGAGCGGGGACCCTTCTGGATGCCTGCGACGGGTGAGGGAGGGGACCGGGGGGTCAGCAGCATCCGAGATGGGGGTGCTGGGGGGGCTGCATGAGCACATGGGGGGCTGCACGAGCATGGGTGGGGAGATGCTCTGGGGAGGGGAATGCATGACACTGGCAGG